AAAAGCTCTCTCTCATAGGATTATCACCTAAAGGCAACCCTAAGTAGTTCAAAGGCCACCCTGAGACTTCACACCCCAGCACTTTAGCACTCTCCCTGATCTCTCCCTCCTCCAAATTCACCCCCACAACACAGCTTTTCCCAATGTTAACCTTCAAGTTGGATATTTGCTCAAACAGTTGTATCACCGACTTCAAATTCTAGATAAAGCTCACATTACCACCTTCACAAAACAGAATCGTATCGTCAGCAAACTACAAGTGATTAAGGGGGGTTTCCACCCTCCCAACTCTCCCGCCTCTAATAAGCCCCCTAGAATCTGCCCTGTGAATTAGTTACCACAAAACCTCCGCAATTAGAATGAACAAGAAAGGAGAACGGGGGTCTCCTTGTCTTATACCCCTACTGGCTAGAAAAAATCTACCACTGTCCCATTCACTAGCATTGAGTAATGACAATTCCAGACACAACCCATAATCCACTTACACCACCTATCCACGAACCCAAATTTAGTCAAAACTTTCCTCAAAAATTCCCAGTCCACCAAGTCACAAGCCTTTTCCAAATCCAACTTACAGACCACTCCCTTCTTCTTATCCCTCTTAAAGTTCTTCACACTCTCATTAGCAATTAAAATCTGATCAGTAATTTGTCTTCCATTCACAAAAGCTCCTTGGTAGTGTGCAATKATATCTGRCAAAACCTTCTTCAGCCTCAAAGAYAACACTTTTGCAATGATCTTATACAAGCTATTAACCAAGCTAATTGGCCTAAAATCCTTCGAGTGGGAAGCATCTTTCTTTTTTGGAACTAAGGCTATAAATGTAGAGTTCACACCCGAATTGACAACTCCTCTCCTGAAAAACTCCTTCAAACACCCGCAAAAGATCATCTTTCAAAATATCCCAACAATCCTGATAAAAAGCCATTGTGAACCTATCCGGCCCTGGGACTTTTGTTCTATCCATAGAGAATACAGCCTCCTTGATCTCTTCTAAACTAAAGCTTCTCTCCAACCTTCTCCTGTTCTCC